GACTGCCATCAATGCAACAGGAACTCGACCCAGAGCAAACGGCGGTAAATCATCCCCGTGGTTGACCCCGGCGTGCAAGGAAGCACGGGCTGAATATCGAGCGGCAGAATCACCCCTCCAACGTGCAGTGTATGCAAAAAAGCTCCGATCAGCCATTAGAGCTGCCAAAAAATAACATCAAGCACAGCAGGTGGAAAGAATGAACACGCTGTTGAAAATTCAGACTCTATGTGTCTGAAGTTTCCCATGATTGGAACAACTAAGATTCTCACACATGACTCACGACCTAGATGATTGATATCTCCCTTACTGAGCATGTTTGATGCTTGAGACTCGACTAGTGCATGGTATGGTCTGATACACGTGTAGGCTTTCATCCACCGACCCTGACCCCATACTCATATTGTATACTGTCGTGCGTTTCATTGTCATTGTTAGAGTATGGAACGAGTGATGGATGGTATCTAGTCTGGATTTGGTCTATCAAGATTACATGTATATAAGCTGTCTAGGAATCACCAAGACAGATAATCTAATCAATTCAATTTATTCAAACCATCTTTTATTTCTCCACAGTTTATCACATATTCTCCCGATTCATATCATTATTATTCTATTCATAAAATCGCGCCCATGTTCTTTGAGCCGCCTTACTCATCGAACCCATACCGGTTTTCCAACACACGCCGAACGATGTTTTTAAGCTGATGAGAATGGCTGGGCCTAGACAGACAAACATCCCACCACCCCTCAATCACAACGGAGGTCTCATCTCTGATCCACTAGAGCGAGCCACAGTTCTCCGTAACTGTCTCCTGGCAAGACACCAAACATCGGATGACCTGCCGCCTTGCATCGCCACGAGTAACAACCGCATACCATGGAAGGACGACATCTCCGAGGAATAAGTCCGAGCTTGTACTATCGGCTGTGGAAACACGGCTCTGGGAGCAGACGGAGTCTCCGTACAGCTGCTAGTGGCCTGCTGGAAGACAATTGGACCCTGTATAGTCAAGCTCTTCAGAGCTTGCATACAGCTCGGTACGCATCCGAATGGTTTCAAATTGGCCGAAGTAGTACTTGTACAGAAGCCTAAAAGGGACCCAACAACTGTCAAAGGATGGAGATCAATTGCCATTCTTTCTTGCCTTGGTAAAGGACTTGAAAGACTTCTAGCAAAACGGATGGCGCACTTAGTAGTGATTTGTGATGTAGTTGGTCGGCAATAATTCGGCGCACTCTCGAGGCGCTCAGCAACAGACCTAGTCTCCTGTGTAGTACACGATGTCGAGGAGGGGCGCACACAAAGGTGGGCGGCCACTTTCGTCACCTCAGACGTACAAGGTGCGTTTGATGCAGTTCTTCATAACCGCCTAGTGAGAAGGATGCAAGAACAAAGATGGCCAGACTCAATTCTAAAGTGTACGACGTCGTTCCTTGCACAAGGAATGGTCCAAGTACGACACTTGGAAGGAGTCACGACAGAGCGACAGCTAGTCTGCAGGGTCCCACAGGGGTCGCCGATCTCGCCTCTTCTCTTTCTTCTATACATGGCAGAGCCAATGCGCGGTGGTGCAGCTAATCTGAGGTTTAGCTACGCTGACGACATCGGTATTCTTGGGTTTGGCCGCACCACTGCTGAGTCTACTGCAGCTGCCCAGAAAGAAGTCGACCACCTGCTGGAGTGGGCTCAGAAAAATGCTGTCCAATTCGACACAGAAAAGTCAGAGGTAGTACAATTTCCACCACGGCATCGCGAGGCAGCAGTTGGCATCCACGTAAACGGCACTCTCATAGAACCAGCTGAACAAGTTCGCTGGCTTGGAGTTTACCTCGATCCGCGTCTTAACTTCAAACATCATGTGATGACGTGGTCCGGAAAAGCAATGAAATTCGCACATCTTATGCGACGCTTCAATTCTACTTTTCGAGGAGACGCACCAGGAGCGCTGATACGAGCAGTAAATAGTTGTATTGTTTCAATCGCGACTTTTGGAGCGGAAGTCTGGTGGCCCGGCCTCAAACGCTCAACAAGAGCAGGAATAGCAACGCCAGCTACCGCGAGACTTTGCACTATGATCGATAAGGCTAACATGATGGGTCTCCGATCTGCACTTCTGGTTCTGCGGACTACTCCGAATGTGGTCCTGCACAGGGAAGGAGGAATCCCTCCCGCAAATATTATTCTAGAGGGAAACCGACTACGATTTTCAGCCCGAATAAAAACCCTCGATGATCAGAACCCGCTGAGATCTCGTGCTGCGATGTGCCCAAACGTTGGGACTCGAAATTACAAGGAAAAACTTCGAAGATTTGAACATGTAGATAGACAAAGGGCTCGAGCACAGCGAGCCTATCGACAACTTCCGGATGCAGAAGCTTCGATACCTCTGCCGCCGCCATCCTACTCTGCTAGATACATGATCAAGTCAGAAGGAAAAGAAGCAAGCAAACTTTAGATAGATAACGTGCCCGCATCGGAAATTTGCGCCTACTCAGACGGCTCTTCGGAGGGAAACGGACGTTCAGCTTGGGGTTTTGTTGTGAAGAGATATGGTAAAACTCTTCTCAAGGAGAATGGTATCCGATACGGAGGAGAGGTCCTGGATGCGGAAATCACAGGGGCGGTAAAGGCTCTAGAGGCGGCGCTGAGAATAAAAGAAGCGTAATATCAGCAGTGGGGGGCAATACGGCGAGTGAATGTATTGCTGGACAGTCTTTTTTTTTGGATCAGATTTTAATTGCGTATGCAGCTATCTAGCTATGACACAATATCAAAGAAAAGTACAGAATAGATGATTCAACGTAAAGGAAGAGCACTCATGCCTCGGATTTCATTTGCAAGTACCACTGCGAAGTTATGGTAGCTTTTTCTTCACCCCAAGTCAACCCTCATCCGTGAATACCCACCCAGGGGAACGTCTCAAAAACCATGAGCTATCCAGACATGCCTCCATCATCTTTCAACTTTTCTCCGCGCGAAATGTAATCTGAGATGTCTCCTTCCCAAGTGGAGTAGGTGCCCAGGCTACTCAAACCATACCAGAGAACATCACCAAGAGGCGGATCTCAACACCTTCCATCGTTTGCTTATTTTTATACTGCCAGCTGCACTCTCGCAAGAGAAGTCTTGGCGCGCACAAAGCTCAATTTGTAAAACTTCTTGCCAAAATTCGGGATTCCACGCCCTTCGAGGTTATATCCTTCCTTCGCATCATCTTGTCAACTTGTCCTAATACCTCTAACGTCCATCCCACAGAACTGTCTCCCAGATTTGTGCGCCTCGCTTTGCTTCCTCCGTCGGGTGTAAATATCGGCGTGGGCGTGTATTTGGTGGTCAACTGAGGCCAGAGAAGGTCGAAGAGAGATATGGTCATAGGGATGAGGATGTATTAGGTCATACTTGTAGACTTGATGAGGCTTAGGTAGGAGTCGAACTCGTTGGGACCGAGAAAACGAAGTGGTGGAGTAATTTGGATTTTTGCCTCGTGGGCCAACTTCTTTGACATTGCGAAATTTGACTGAACTTGACCCTGGGAGAATATTTCACTCCCAGGTTCGTAGAGGACACCGCGTACAGATGTTCAGTCTTGCCCTCCTCCGTCTATGCTCAGATGGCGCACAATCGCTTATGTTGTATATTAGGCTTCGCGTCGCTCATACTCATATTTTACAGCGCACAGCTTCCACTATCTTATCCCGTATCTAGATAGAACACCATTTTACACGTTTTTTCTTAGAAAAATTCACGCATTTGAATTCACGGGGCTCTTAACAATTACTTCTGCATTCAGCCTCAAAATTTCGAGGGACAGCAGTGATGGGGCAAGGCCAGGTGATACTTATGTTTCCAAGGTATTGAGATTCGTAGCGTAACATGGAGATGCAACAATGAAGCATTCAAGGGGAAGAAAACAGGGAAGGCCTCGGTAAGCGACTGTATGGTACCTGTGGTTAAGAAAACAACCTCTAGACTAAACATGAAATGCTGAAAAGAGGCCAAATTGTAGCGAAATGGGGAAGAAACAGATTACAAAGAAGGATGCCAAGAGATCAGGGACGTGGCAGTCGGTTGCAGTGGGGAATTTATGCTTTAGCACCCCAAAATTGGGTTTTCCAGACGGTTGTAGCTGACATCTTCAACGCCTAGGTGAAGTCTACAGTGGTCCAGTCACGGAGATGATACGAGGATTTTGTACTTAAAAGTAATTAATTTGAACCAACTTGGTTTCGCTCCTGCTCGGGTTCCCAGGGAAGGACGGAGGGTGCTAATCGCTGAACGTGCGGGCAGTATTAGGCTCAGTTCCATTACAGATAATACTTGTGTTAGACAGTTAGGGTCTTTTGAAAAATATGAAATGAATATATGTCTATCAGATCGCTACTCCTCTCCGGCCTTGACGCTACATATCTATGGAAAACTAGTTTTAGGTGAGAAAATTCCCTATCCGTTTCCAAAAATTACACAATGAAATAAACTACATGTGTAGAAGGGCAAGAGATCTCAGCTTAAAGTTTTGATCTTACTGATCACTATTTCCGGAATGAGATGGCAAAGCCCGAGATAATTTATCTGAAAAATGTGTAAGCCAATAAACGGGCCAGGAAATTTGGCTAATGCACGAAGGTAGTGCCACAGTTAGTATCGAAGGAAAGTACCCGGAGTGGAAAAGCCAAGCTATCAACATAGATATCCATCACAAAACTTCGAGCAAATGGTATTGTTTTGAGATATCACCAGCAAACAACGGGCACGGAACTAAAGGTACGAATCTACTTCTAGCGCTGCCCGCACGCACAGCAACTATTCGCCACCAAGCTTCGGGCGCGGGAGCACTTAGGTAAAATTATACATGGAAGCAATCGGAGTGGCGACACCATAAGCCCCTGGAATATAACCACTAGTCGCGAGAGGTCAGATACCGCTCGGCGTATATGGAATAGCATCGAGAGTACAGGCGTATCTTGAGCGCCCTGAAAGGAAACCAGTACGGTCGCCCATGGATCAGCTATTCAGGGGCGGTCAATTAGTGTACGGAGCTGCAACGATGGGGAGAGTGCTGCGACTGGCAAGCAGATGATATACGCGAACCGGAGGAGCAGCAATGGCCGCTCATGAACCGTGGATTCATGAGCGTTGGATTAGTAGTATTATTGCTGTGGATAGTTAACCACGAGATGGAACTAAGAGCATGACACGGGTCATAGTGATGTATATAAGAGAGCATATGCTCGCTCTTCTAGCAGTATCGAAATCAGTCGAACATATCCTCCACATACTCCTATCAGACATAACAAGTAACTATGTTCCCATATGACTCATAACCTCAACATATAGGCGTGTCCGAAGCGGGCAAACGGAAGAGGCGACTTTCTCCGACAAGCTAAAGATAGCTTATTCGGATCAGTGATTAACAGCCCAGAAGATGTGGTCAGAATTACACAGTGGATACTAAACAAAGGGTGGATAAAACAGTTTCGACTTGCAGGAGAAGTCGAGGTAGCAATGTCAGATATTATAAATCGATTTGGAAAGTGACGGGACAGAATCCACACTGGCTGAACAGTGTAAACTGCACTTCCTGATGGTAAACTAAGCAAATTGATAGTAATATAAACAGACAGGACCAGGGGGCTTTTATCAAATTGGTTTCCTCTTTTGTAAATAATGAAGATAGTCACCTGTATGGACCCATAGGGTGCCTGATCGGGTTGAATAAAATCAAATTCCAAAATACCATAGTTATCTATTTTCATTTTCTATGGAAAATTCAAGAGCAAGATACCGTGCTGAACATGCGACCGGTTAATATTTTACTATACCAAGTTGACTTATAGACTCGCTTGTTCTATTGACAATTCAAGGTCTCGTTCATTTCTCGCCAAGCCGTTTTGGTTATACAGATGACGTTGTATTTCTGGCGTCAGCGCCATCCCTAGCTCGCTGTGGAGAGTCACTACAGACTCATTTGAATTTAACACTCTTCTGGGGCCGTTAAAACGGTATCGCTCTTGAAGTCTCGAAAGTGGAGCTATAATATTTTCACCGGAAGCATAAATTGCCAGCAGAGCCCAGTATATATGCTGCCAGAGCAGTGATCATCTCAAATGCTCACATACGCTGGCTTGCGGTCATGTTCGATCGAGGCCGCCGATTTAGGGAGCATTTCAGACAAGCCCGCGGAAGATCCTTGGCTGTTACAAGCCACATCAAAAGCCTTTCGAGAGTCATTCGAGGAATGAGCCCTCTACTTTCTAGGCAGGCGCTCCAAGAAGCAGCTTTCGCGACTTTACTCTACGGGGCGGAGATGTGGTACTCCAAAGGAACCCCGAAAGGACTCATGCCTTGGATCCAATAAAGGATGAATGATGCTGCTCGTGCTGCATTTCCTGTATTACGTATAATACTAACAGCCGTTCTCCTCCGAGAAACAGGTCGAAGCCCTGCAAAAGCCTGGCTTGAGCGCATTCACTATATATTCGCCCTCCGCACTGCAGCAGCAGCTCCCAGACACCCTCTTCATAAACGGTGGGGTTCTCCAAGAATATGCTGGATTCGGTAAAGAATTTCACCGGAGCTCTTTGAAGCTACCATTCCTCCCCTGTGGGAAGTCGGACGTGATGGATGTTTGGAAAAGATCGGTGCTGTTGGTCGAGCAGTTGGAGTTGACTCCTTCACCCAATAGTCTGTCCAATAACCTATTGTTTACCTTTTTGTTTCCCCAACGGCCATCTTATCGAGAATCGAGCAGGAGCGGGATATTCAATACGGCGCGGTATAACTGTTGGAAAACCGGTATGGGTTCGATGAGTAAGGCGGCTCAAAGAATATGGGCGCGATTTTATGAATAGAATAATAATGATATGAATCGGGAGAATATGTGATAAACTGTGGAGAAATAAAAGATGGTTTGAATAAATTGAATTGATTAGATTATCTGTCTTGGTGATTCCTAGGCAGCTTATATACATGTAATCTTGATAGACCAAATCCAGACTAGATACCATCCATCACTCATTCCATACTCTAACAATGACAATGAATCGCACGACAGTATACAACATGAGTATGCGGTAAGAGTCGGTGGATGAAAGCCTACACGTGTATCAGACCATACCATGCACTAGTCGAGTCTCAAGCATCAAACATGCTCAGTAAGGGAGATATCAATCATCTAGGTCATGAATCAGGCTATGAGTCATGTGTGAGAATCTTAGTTGTTCCAATCATGGGAAACTTCAGACACATAGAGTCTGAATTTCCAACACTCCTCCTGAACAAAAAGATTCCACAGATTTCGGATCATATTACTCCGAATATTTTATCACATAGTGGCTTTGCTTTGACATGCGAAAGTGGCTTGGTCAGTATGTCTGCTAACATTTCTGTTGTGGGGATGTAATTTAAATTTATCTTCTGATCCCTGACGCAATCCCTGACGAAATGGTACGCAACATCTATGTGTTTCGTCTTTGATGAACTCGTTCCCTTTGCGATAGCTAATGCACTCTGATTGTCTGTAAGGGTTAGCATTCCCCCGTCGCCGACGAGCAGACTTGCGACGTGAAGCTCTTCAAGTAATCTTGTGGCCCAGATGGCAACCTTTGATGCTTCGCATATGGCAACGTATTCCGCCTCTGCGGTTCAGGTGGAGACCGATTTTTGTCGTTTCGCTTGCCAGCAAACAGGGCCTCCTCCAAGCATTAGTATGTAACCACTGACTGAACGACGAGTTGTCGTATCTGAAGCATAGTCGGAGTCAGAATAAAGTGTGGCCTTCAATTCCTGTGAGGGCGTCTGAGAGACTGGTCCAAAATTGTAAGTTACACAATATTCTGTTGATCCTTTGGTGTAGCGCAGCACTCTGCAGACGCTATTCCAATGTCTGTCGACTGGGCGAGAATTGAAACTACCCAGTTGGGAAGTGGCAAAACAAATATTAGGTCTCGTCCCATTGGACGCATAACCTAGACTACCCACGGCGCTAGCATAGGCCGATTCGTCAGCGAGTGACTCTTCCTCGCCACCAGGCACTATTCCACTGTACCCGTCCATGGGTGTTGCACATGCCTTAGCGTCTTGCAGTCCAAACGACGCAACTTTATCAACCAAATAATCGCGTTGGCTTATATTTAGGATCCTGTTTGATCTATCTCGAGTAATATTCCACCCTATAACGGTACCGATTAGTCCAAGGTCTTTGATCGGGAAGAAAGAAGAAAGTTGCTGTTTGATTTCGACCACTTGCTGCAGAACTTTTCCACAAATGATAAGATCATCCATATATACGCCAATTACTACTTGCACTTTAGAGTGTATGTAAATGCATTGATCGCAATTTGATCTTTTGAAGTCAAGAGAATATAGCTTATTGTTAAGCTTTTGATACCACACCCTCCCAGACTGCTTTAGGCCATAAAGTACCTTATCAACTCGGACATACTTTGTTCCTGTCATTCCTTCGGGACACCTCATATAAATTTCTTCGTGTAAGTCACCTTCGAGATATGCAGTCTTGACGTCAATCTGATGAATTTCCCAGTCGCAAAAGTTTGCTACGGCCAGAAGAATCCGCAAAGAATCCATTCGCAATGTTGGGGAATATGTGTCAAAGTAGTCGACGCCATAAGTTTGACTAAATCCCTGTGCAACTAACCTTGCTTTATATCTTCCGTCCGATTTTACTGAAAAAACCCATCTTGAACCAACTGGCTTCCTTCCGTGCGGTATATGAGTAATTGAGTTAAAAACCTTCTTTAAGTCTAAGGATTCCAGTTCCCCACCAATTGCAGTTAGCCACTTAGTCTTATCTGGTCCGTTAATAGCTTCCTTATAGCTCTGGGGAATCGGGATGTTTTGCTTTACATAAAGAGCTCGGGAACTTGGCTGCCATGAGGATTTTTGTTCAATCAACCGTAGTATACGATTACTCCTCCTGAGGACCAGTGTCTCTGAAGTGATGTCTTGAGGATTATCAAATGAGCCTGGGATAGCATGTGAGTCAACTTCTTCAATGTTGTCCGCAAAATCTTCGGACTCTGCTAATGTATTTTCATTTCCTGCAGTAATTGGTGACGCAGAAGTCATCAAGGGTTCCAAGACAGAGTTTTTAATCTCTAATTCCCGCTCTGAATCAGAGTCCGACTCGTCTTCTTGAATAATCGGGGACTGCAATCCATGTAAGCTAGAATTGACATCATGAGACTCACCCCACTCCCAAAAAGAGTCTTCGAGGAACTTCACATTTGCTGATGTAATAATTTTATTTTGGCCAGATTTTGAGGGGATATAAACTTTATATTGTGTTATTGACTCGCAATATCCAACAAAGATTCCCTTCAGTGAAGTATTTTTCAGCTTTTGTCTCCTCGGGTCTTTATCATCGATCAATGCATAACAGACACAACCCCAAACCTTTAGATGAGAAGTTATGAGTGTATTTCCATTCATAGCTTCGAACGGAGTAAGTTTTTCTGGAAGAATTGGAAGCCTACTTCGTAGATACGATGCTGTGAGAACAGCTGCATCCCAGAAACGAATAGGGAGATGTGCATGGGAAAGCGTACACCTAGCCATAGTTATAATCGAGCGGTTTGACCTTTCTGCAACCCCAATTTGATGTTGGGTATATGGTGCACTAATTTGTCTCCTAATTCCGCTAAAGTTTATCTTTTTATACTCTGAACCCCCATCGAATCGCATCGACTTAATCTTATGTCCGGACTGAAGTTCTTTCACAGCTTTATATTCTTGGAAATGGCTAGGAACCTCGGATTTATTTTTCATTAAGAAAATCATACTTTCGCGAGAATGATCATCGATAAAAGTGACGAAATAAGAGGTTCCAAATATACCGATGGCCTGGCATTTTCCCCAAGTATCTGAATGCACCAACTCAAGAACATTTGAGGATCTCGAGACTGGACCACGATTAATTCTTTCCACCTGTTTGCACGAATTGCAAACATCACAAGAGTGAAGAGTTGGATTATCAATGCGGAATTTATTTTCATCTTTACCTTTTAAAGTCGGAAGTTTCAAACTAGGTACGCTGATACTTCCTAACAGTTGCGGGCCAACGTGTGCAAAACGGTGATGAAGAAATTCTGTCGCATCCCTCTGACAATTCTTAGACAGCATGACTTTAGCGGGTACCAACGAGGAAGAGAGAGTATTGAAACAGAAGAGCCCCCCTTTGGGCCTAGCGGAAGCTATGATTTTCCCATCAGGCGAGAAAATACCAAAACCATCATTTGATGATTGAACCTGAAAACCCTTCGAGAGTAACTGCATTCCTGAGACAAGGTTTCGCGTGCACGACGGAACGTACCAGACGTTATCCATACGGATAGTCTTGCCAGCTTTCTCATGAGTATAGCTAAATACTCTAAACTCCACACATCCAACACCGGAGACAGAAAGAGAGTCGCCAGAAGCAGTAGAAATGGACTTGTTCGATGGTGTAAGAGACTTGAACAAGGATCTATCATGAAAAATATGGTTGGTAGCGCCTGTATCAAAAACGACATCATTGTTTTTCATCTCATCTTTCGACACGAGGGCATGCTCATTTACCATCCAAATTCCCGACTAGTTACTTTTAGAAGCGCTAGAGGATAATTCTGGTTCGGAGCCCGTATGGCGTCGCTGTTGTAACCTCTTCTGCAAACTTCGAGTTCTCGCTGCTTTTTCGGGATTCTTAGCTGCCCATTCGGATCCATCTGGAGTATTTAACCACTTAAAGCACGCCTCACGTATGTGTCCCGAACGCTTGCAGTAGGCGCAATGCTTCTTTTCACTTGTGTCAGGACTTTTGGTGGATCCATTTTCCTCTTCATTCTTCAGAAGTGCGACAACAGATGTCGGGTGTAGTTCCCGATAGACTGATTGCGCAGCACGAATTGATGTGACAGCTGCCGTGAACAAAACTTCTGGAGATCTTAACGGAATCGACACAGACATATAAAACCCACCGCAACATCTAGAAAAATGTGATAAAAGCCTCGTCTTCATACTTGAATCAGTAGGCCTAGAATTCGCGGAGAGAAGACTTATTTTATTCCTAATTTCAGAGAGCTTCTGAACAAATTCATCAACTTCGTCCTCGTCTTCGATAGATACTCCCCAGAATTCTTCTAGTAGATCATCCAGGTCACCTGAAGGGTTAGGGCAGTAAAACTCTCTCAGGTTATCCCAACATTCCTTCGAAGTGTAAGTCGAATGAACCAGATGGAATGCAATATCAGGTACTAATTGTGACATGGCAACCCTGATGTGCATGTCAACCTTCTGAATATCGCGAGTAGCACTTGTCGTTCTGGCATCCTCAACTTCTAGATCGGACACCTCCTCCAGTATATAATGCTGTAAATCATAAAGTGATAAAACATCACTAAAGAGAGAACTCCACCGATTATACGTCGACTTACTTGATATTGGAGCATGCCTCATGGACTTAAGGATCTGTGCCGACGACATATTTGCTGTTGAGTGTTTTATAGATTAAGCTCCTGTAGAAATAGAAATAAAAACTTCAAAAAAGATTCACTATGAATTTCACGATAATATTCGATAAAAAGTAAAGCTTCAACTTCGATATAAGGTGAGCTTGTTATAATCCTAGTCCATGCTAACACAACGCAGAGACGTGCATGGTCTAGGTCATGGATCAACATAGTCGCTGTGCCTACACAATTGAGGTAAGCTACGTAGTGGTTGGAGAGATCGGCTGAGGATCAGGATGTTGAGAAGTGATAGCAGTGCACGGACCAGCTTCTCATGTATTTAGACAGGTGGTCAGGCACTGCCCCCAAAAGTGTCCAAAGTAGATCACATCATTTATCCATCATACTTTAGCAAATAATAATCCCTCCTAAAGTCTACATCTCAGTTCTCGTACATTATATCACAACTGACTCTAAGTCCATCCCAAGAATATCTCCAGTGCTCATCATTCACAACAGAGCTAACTTGGTCTCATAATCTGTTGGAAAACCGGTATGGGTTCGATGAGTAAGGTGGCTCAAAGAATATGGGCGCGATTTTATGAATAGAATAATAATGATATGAATCGGGAGAATATGTGATAAACTGTGGAGAAATAAAAGATGGTTTGAATAAATTGAATTGATTAGATTATCTGTCTTGGTGATTCCTAGGCAGCTTATATACATGTAATCTTGATAGACCAAATCCAGACTAGATACCATCCATCACTCATTCCATACTCTAACAATGACAATGAATCGCACGACAGTATACAACATGAGTATGGGGTCAGGGTCGGTGTGTTAAAATATGATTCCTCTGGACGGGTAATACAGTAGTACTGTTACTGGAATATTTGGAAGTAGATTTGATAAAGTATAGGGTTAAATCGTTGCGTGTGTCTTCGTCTCTACGTCTACGCGCTTAATAGAAGTATCGCGACCTCGCACCCTCTAATCTATCGCTCCTAGTCTCATCCACACGCTAATATGAAACTACTAATACAGGGTATATAAAATCAACAGACGCCTTACCCTTTTTAACTCCTAGGCAACCAATAACCACAACCCTAACTCCATTATGTTAAATTGTAGGGATGATTATGTTTGACCAACCCTTCTTATAATTTAACACGGTGGATGAAAGCCTACACGTGTATCAGACCATACCATGCACTAGTCGAGTCTCAAGCATCAAACATGCTCAGTAAGGGAGATATCAATCATCTAGGTCGTGAGTCATGTGTGAGAATCTTAGTTGTTCCAATCATGGGAAACTTCAGACACATAGAGTCTGAATTTCCAACAATAACTCATGAGATTACATGCGGCACCATCCATCTAGGGCTCTCAGCAGAAGTGTATGATGAAGAAATTTCTGGAGCAACAGAGGGCCTTGCAGCTGCTCTCTTTAATCCCATGGCCTTTTACACTACCAATATAACCATCTATCTGGATAACCAAGAAGCAGCTCTTCGGCTTCTCTTGTCACTGTTAGAAATCTAGACTAAGTATGAAGGTTTAAATTTCTAAGTATGATCATCAAGATCAATTGATTTGATCGTATAAGATTAAGCTAAGCTGGGCGACATGAGGTTTAGTGGTATCCGAAATGCAGTGGCCAGGAAATGCTACCTTGCGATAATTAACTGTCTGGTTGTTGCTAGATCACTTGGATTTTGGGATCACTAAAGCCTCAGGGATCTGTTTTTAAGGATGGACTGATCTCTATACGTTCAACTAAGTTAACGGAATATTAAATATTATTAATTCCTATTGAGAAGAGAGCTCGATATCCTGTATTATTATTATTATTTCATTTTATTCTCCTGTCTGAGTCTATGAATATGTAGGACATGCAGGTCCTCTCTGCCTACAGGCCAAGGATACCTATACCAGTAGTATATCCCCTCCTATGCCTCCCATACAACTCCACTCAAACAGTACCACCTCTCACAAGTCCTCATTCAATCATACACTTAGAGGAGCCCTTAGCCCTTCGTTATCTCCCCTCTCCAGCCAAAAAAACGATGGCCATTTGCGGGTGTATGGCAGCCGGGAGAAATCGCAAAAAAACACTGGTTGCGGAGCTCTTCTACTACCGACATTAGGACTAAACCCGAAGACATAGTGACCCTTCTGAAGCGTTCGAAGAGGCCGGCTGGCTAGGCGCTGCAGACTTGTGGGTACTTCGGGAAATTCACACTCTGCCTTTCTAGCCTCCTTCCAACTCCATCCCGAAGGTCGTGCTGAAATGTCAGAAAAGTCTTGAGAGAGCGTGATTGCTGTATGGCAGCTTAGCCCAACTTCTTTTGTGCCGTCCAGGGCTCTGGGGATTGCCGTTGACCCGTCGACATTAGCCTTTCTATCAGTGCGCCACGGGAAAAAAAGGTATGGACAAATCACCTTTCAAAGATTTCCAGTCTCGACAACTGTAGGTAACGTGACTAAAAATCCTGATTGCAGAAAATTACCCAGACAATGCAGCACAGTACCATCCAAACCCTACCTTTTCTGAATTATTAGATTATTTATTTCATGTAATACCACGTGTACAAACTAACAATATAAATGAGATTTTTACCCGTCTGTAATATATTCTTGCCGTTAGAGTTGTCACTAAGAACGGAGTAATACCTGATGTGGTTTATGCATATGCCTTATAATAACTCGGGGGAGATGATGTCCCTCGGGATCTTGTATAAAGATTAACCTTTCTACAAAAAGGAGTCAACTTTAGAATAAATGATTAAATAGGGTTTGTGCAAAATTTTATTTAATAGGAACCAATAGAGGATTCAGTATCAAATTTTTATAATCTAAGGGACTGATAAATGTTGAAAAATATTGGAAAAATATGACAATGGTGCCAAATATATATGTTAAGCAGGTGTTTCAAAATGAGGCTTTTTTCTGCAGGTGTACCGATTAGCGGGCCAACTATCCTGGGATTAGTTTAGATAGATAGGATCAAAATTGATTCCAAGATTACCGCCTGGCAAGAACGTATTACGTTATGCCACAGAAAATGATAATCAAGTTAAAGGGTTGAAAGAATACAACTAAATATGTGCTATTGAACGGGGGAAGCGAAACTTGAATGAAGCAGGTCGGATTACATCAGCAAGCTTTGGGGCAGTCTTGCATCGTACTGCTAGCTTCGCAAATATGACTTCTACTATCTGTCGACAGTCAATCATTTCAATCTATCAGTTAGTTTATCCAGACTATTTAATCTTAAAATAATTGCAATCTGAATATTTCTTTTCCAAGCATGAAATCCATCTAAGGCCGACTCTAGCACTGTATATGAATGATTTCTCTCTTTTCATTACAATTATCACTAAAGGAAGGCTGGTAAGAGAAAATTTGGTATGCAGCCACTTAGCCATAAAGCTGGATCGCAAAGTCGCAAAGTAAAGGTAGGTTTTTACTTTATCTAATGTTTTCTCTCCGGTGCCAGAGTGATGCAAGTTGAGATCAAAGAACTTATCCATAATAGCTTGCTCATTCATATCAAGAACTTTTACAGTATGTACCTCTTAAACTCCTTTTAAATTGACATAAAATTAATCGAAATCGGAATAGTGAGTTCTCTTCAAAAGATCTCCGCACCGTCGGTAACTATGCACTTGGGCGATTAATTGGAAAAGGATCATTCGGAAAAGTCTATCTAGCTTCCCACAAGCTCACAAATGGGTCAAAAGTTTGCACCAACGCTTCTCTGAAGATAAATCAGTTCCTAACAAGCTTCTTAAGGTTGTTCTGAAGTCAGCCAAAAAAGACGATTCAAACCTAGCACGGGAAATTCATCATCATCGCCAATTTATACACCCACACATCGCACGCCTCTACGAAGTCATAATTACAGAGAATCTTGTATGGCTTGTCCTAGAATATTGTCCTGGTGAGCTTACGTCGGCTAATATAAGCTATAAATTCTGAAAAATTACAGGTGATGAACTTTACAATTACCTTTTAAAACATGGAACATTATCTGTGGAAAAAGTACAGAAAGTTTTTACGCAATTAGTAGGAGCCGTTGCATATGTACATGCTGCATCATGCGTGCACAGAGACTTGAAGCTTGAAAATATTATGCTCGACAGAAATGAGAACGTCAAGCTGTGCGACTTTGGTTTCACGCGAGAGTACGAAGGGAAGGGAAACTACTTGCAGACATACTGCGGTACAGTCGCGTATAGTGCTCCAGAGATGATTAAGGGTGAAAAATATGCGGGTGAAAAAGTTGACGTGTGGAGTCTCGGCGTAATATTATACGCACTACTTTGCGGGGAGTTACCTTTCGATGAAGACGATGAAAATGCGACAAGGATGAAGATATTAACAAGTGAGCCAAAATGGCCCAATCACTTAACATCTGATGCGCGTTCGCTGTTAGGTTTGCTACTTTCTAAGAGAACCCTAATTCGACCCACTTTATCCGACATCTTAGAACATCCTTTTCTAAATGAGTATGCTCCACAACAGCAGGCAATTTTGAAGTACAAACATCCTCCTCCCTTTTCGACTCAGTTAGAAAAAGAGACTTTGCAAAGAATGCGTAGTGCCGGGGTTGACGTTGATCAAGTAATTGAGAACGTGATGGCCAAAAGTTGTGACGCTCTTGCAGGGTGGTGGGCTTTACTTATTGAAAAGGAACAAAGAAAACAGATTAAAAGAGAGCGAAAGCGCAAAGAGAGAGAGACTGAAAATCGAGGATCAAGAAGGCTGAGCGGTGCAAGCAATGGTAGACTGGATTTCATGTCTACTTCAATAGCCGGAATTTGTGAAGAAGTGTCCCAAACTAGACCTAATGAATCGCCGAAGATAAGGGGAAGGAAAGAGAGACGAAGTACTCATTTCTCTGATGAAAATCAAGATCTTCCTGGCCTCCCTGAACATCCAGCTCTATTCACTTCCGAAATAATTAAATCACCATCTTCAATAGAGAAAGGTGCACTTAGATCATCCAGCTCATCTAGACAGCGACGCCCGCCACCGCCTCCTAAAGAAGGAACAATACGGGGGGCCAAGTCTCGTGGAAGTACATTACAGCTTGTTACTCCAAACCACGAACTGTTGGACTCCAAGTCAAACAACCTTATGGTTAGGACCCCTAGGCGAAAACATCAACACTCTTTCATTAATCAGCTGGCTCACTGGAAGCATTGGATAATAGACTCCGCAAAGCGGACAAAATCGCCCAATAGGAAATCATCAAGGTCAACTATAGAACTCCATGAGAAAACATCTTCCAACCCAAGAATTGAGATGAATTCACCAAATTCTAAACCAGCAGTTTCTAAGGCGACACTCACTAAGCCTACCATGTCCTCTTGGTCTCAGTCAAATCCTCCTCCAACAAAATACTCGAACTCGAATTCGAATTCTAAAATCCAAACTACTATGCCATTGACTCCACGTGGAACCTTCCGTTATTCTAATATAGGACTTCGAGGACGCAAATCTACTTCTTCTTCTGTCTCTTCAGTTCGCAGTGTTCATCACCATAATCATACGCATTCTAAGGCCTCTTCAACTTCGTCCGATTGCTCTATTTCAACAGCTAAATTTTCCCTTACTTCACGCTCCAGTCCTCATCACTCTGTAAAAGTTCTTCCTGCGACACCTATTGCTGGAAGTTTTCCCTCAAATATTCGTGTTGTGCGTCAACCAACATCACTTACTTTGAATGAAGTTCCATGGCGTAACAACGCTAGTGGCGGTATTGTATTTGCTAAGCGGAAAAAAAAAATCCTCAAGGGTCCAATGCTAAGTATAAGCTCACCAACTAGTACAAGTCTAGTGTGCCATTCAAGAAGTACGAGCCAGGGGGGACGAGGAAGCGGTGAGATCATACAAGAAGAGGATGAAGATGATATAGAAGAAGTCGACGCTTTCAGTCCTATGGCTGGACCAGGAGAAATAGAAGAGCCAGTTTTCCCGGCAGGTGAAGCTCTAAACGATATTAAAGTTATGCTTGAATCTGGTTAGTTAAATCTTGCAAATTTTTGTGACTACATTTGCCGCTTATGATTTACCTCGAGTATTGTCTCCTAATTAGTTCTGTGAACTTCAAAGACAATTACGCCGATACAAAATTGGTGGGTCAGATATGAGCTTTACGACTGTAGCGTTCTAGAGATTTAACGGAATTAAATTTTATGCCCCTGTGCGACCTCATACAATATCTTTGCTATTATCACATTTTTAGACGAGAGAGAGCAAACGTCTGACGAGTCAAATTTACGACCAATCAGGGCTGGTACCTGTTTACTATTATGGTCTCCGGATAAAACACGGGCGTCAAATGGACTTTAGCCGCTCGAGTATTAGATGATTGATGGACTGCCAGTCGGGATTACGTTCAAATGATGAATCGTTGCCCAAAGAAGCTCTTATCCATCATTCCTCTTTTTAGTTAATTTCCGAGCTCACGCATTCAAAACTACCATTTCATCTATAGGGGCCGATCGTACAAATCTGGAGTGACCTAGTGAAGACAGGCCTTAATTCATGTTTAATGAGGGCGCAGCCAGTAAAATAACGAAACTGTTTCGATTAACTTCACGAAGCCCACTGTTCTGGTTTCTCATTCTCCAAAATAAATATACCAGAGGAACACCATATCTCTTCAATCCTCGCTGAATCCTCATGTAGACATAAACGCCAGACCGTTGAGTATATAGGAATATAATGCCATGTAGATTTATGCCCTATGAACAACTCAAATTGCTTTCGGAACCACCTATCCCTCGATAATATCCTTGATCGTCTTCTTGGGATCTTCGAGGGCGGCGTACAAACGTTCTCTCTTACCCATAGCTGCTTTACCTCCGGCGCGCTTCGCAAGATGCTCTTCATCACTGCTACTTATCTCATCATCGCTGTATAAGAACACCATCTGCATATCATGACTCTCTGTCTGTTTGCGCTCACGCTGATCTTCTTTCATCTTAATATGCTCCTCGTCCGTGCATCTCTTCGTCTGAATGTGAAGGCCAGGAAAATTTTTCAGCAGGAATGTCTCAAGTAGGGGCAACAGATCTCCGTTAGGCCGGTACGTCCCGGAATCATTGTCGATGAAAAGCTGGAAGTCAGAAACATCACCTGGCGCTGGATTTGTGCTACTTATCGACCTCGCGTCTGAGTGGGCATAATCTCTAGAGATAGTGGATGCAGATCTATAGAGCCGACGGCGCACGAAGAACTCACCAGAGTATGCAATGTACACACTAACATCACTGTGCATAGTATGTTTGCTGAGAAGATCAATGCCAAATTCCTTCCCTGTCTCTGTGAAGCGCAGGAGCCCATCTAGGGTGAGGATATAGGTGAAGGTTCGCCAGCCTTGGTTAAAATGTACCATTTTGAGAAAGTGTAAGGTGGCTGCTTCAGAACAGGGTGGCACGATACCATACTGGGTTGAATTACTGTAATTGTAAACTCTTGCGTGTTGATGATGTAGAACTTTGTTGAGGACGCGGCCCCGTAGTCCAGTTTTATCAAACATACCCTTAACGAAAGGCTTGAACTCCACGTATCGGTGGTAGAGTTGGGCAGGAACAGGTCCTTGAAGTTGAAACTGGTTGGCTTGAAAACTAGGGTACTTCAAACCTGAGGTACACGATATAGGGGAGGCATATCACTCACTCATATCTCTCAATTTTATTATCTGAATCTCCTTCAGAGGACTTGGGTGCCTTGGTACCGGCTAATCTTCCAATCATAGGAGAAAAATGTTTGACGTAACATGTCAGGCCCAGCGTATACATTCTACCATGAGGTTTATCTGATTTTCCTAGTATCTCCGCACTCATTATAAGATAGCTTTCTAGATCAACATCGGAATCGAGTAAGGCTGCACAACCACGCATCATGTACGCTCTCTTGCTACCAGCTCTTTTTTTTACAATGAAAGAATGTGAGCTAAATCCAGGCCATCTCTTCCATACCTTTTCTACATGGAGCGTTACGTTTCCCAGACGATCATCGTGATCGTTTGGGTCCTCATCATAGAGCCGACATTTGAGTTTGAACCCTGTAGAGGGAATACCTGCCACTATCCACTCAAAATTCCATTCCGGATCCATATTTTTATGGATGGTAGGCGTTCGCATAATCATATCTGGATCGTTCTTGTGCCGTTTGGGCAAATCAGCTGTCAAAGTGGCGCTAACGTATGGATCAGAAGATCTAGAGTTGAGATCGGCCATGGGCAAGTTCTGAGCTCGATGGAAGGTGAACTTGATAGTATATCCGTCCGACCCAGTGGGAATAGGAGTTGCATCATAGCCGCCAACTAGAGTATTCTTATCATTATGATCGGGTTTAATATGTGCATTGAAATAATCGTTTGCTTCACCAGTCTCATCAGAATGCCTGTCTTGATCATCGTCATCGTTTTCTACTATGTAGAAGGGTGGGATATCTCTTTGCCATGGCGGTTCTTGGGGTTTCGACATTTATATTACTATCTGGGCTGGTGGATACGATTCCAAAGCGACTTGCAAATAAGCTAAGCCCTAGGAGTAGTGCTGAGTTGTTGGGATCGCACAGTGACTTTCGTTTTACCACCAGATTCATATGCAGTTAAGAGTATCTTGGGTTATTTTTCAGCACAGAATTAGAGAATAGTCAGCCTTGAAGCAGCCGCCAATTTTCATTTCACGCAGCTGAGATACTAGAAATATTGATCATCAGAGACACTCACTAGACCTGAAAAACTATGGACTTCAAAATTGTATCCCAATAATACAACCCCTTTCGATAAAAATCCTTGTCCATTAACTCGCGTATAAGGTAACAATTATTTTAATGATTGGGCGATTTGTATTAACCAATAATATCAACTCTCAAACAATTTTACAAATGATCATTCGATCTTGAAAGGGGGTCGAAAATCTCTCTGTCGCCCGTAGCAGCGAAGCGAACTAATATTATTAAGGTCAATGGGTACCAGAGCTGGACCGCATGGAACCACGAAATGTCATCCACATATTTCACCGCAGACAGAACCTGGTATATAACCACTCTTTATTCGTTTGAGATAAGAGGTCCTTGGATAAAAATTTGTCGATTTTTGTATTTTTTACGCAGATGATCTTGAAAAGATGATACAGAAATTCTAGATATTTAAAAGATTTTGAAGATATCTCATTTAGTATATGGATGGTTGAAGGTTGAAGATGAGTCACTGTGAAATATCATGACATGAGTAACGGAAAACTAAATTCTTTATGTGAAAATTGCCTTGCACCTACGTTTGAATTCGAATCAGACATTCGGTGGACGATTACTCTCATACTGATTGTGCCCAAATTTGTCCAAAGGGTGAAATTATTAAATGTTTAGCACGAATATTACTCAATCCAGTCCTTGCTGCCTGTCCACATCGATATATGTGCTTGATTTCCAAGGCCAGTGATTAAACATGAGGATGCAATTTACACTAGGCATCTAATCCCAATGATAGCATTTCCAAATGATTTCGTCTCTCCTGCTTACAATACCACGATTTTTATTATTTGACTACGAATGAAGGCTCGCCTACCATATGCCCCTAGAGCCGCCCAATTGCGAATCTATTGCGGAACCAAACGCCTTAAATACTATAGTTTAGAATTACCCTGATCATAATCATAATTTCCCGCAGCTTTTCTCATAGTTCAGGAATCGGTGCTTTTGCTAATCGCCCTCCCGCACTTACTCGTTTCTGTAGACGTGCTTCGCGTTCCTTGTGCTGCTTTTCACCTAGATTCAAACTAGGATTCGGTAACAGCCCGACCGTATCTAAAGTTAGTGTTCCTCTTCCACTTTTTTGCTCAACATACAAATTCGCACTGCGACTAAGAGGGAAAGCCGGGAGCGAAGACGGTATTTCTGCCCCGTTTTGCACAAGTATCTCAGCAATGGGAAATGCGACGTTTCTGTCAGAGCTTGTTCTAGTGTTCGATGTACCAGATGATGGAGATGCAGGATCTGCAGCAGCCAAAGCCAAGAAAACTGAATGTGTGCCTCTAGACTTGTCGCATACATTCGGATTAGCTTTCAAGGCTAGCGCATATATAACTCTTTGAATTTCATTTCTCTTGATAGCAGCTACTAGAGTTTCGTCTGGCGTAGCGTATCGTGACAAGGTTGGCGAAATCGGCTCTACAAATTCTCGATCCACATATTTTGAGTTAATGAATTTTAAACGTTTTTCCCTGGTTGCTTGAGGTGATGGCTTTATTCCATTATCAAGCTTAGCTTCCCAAACTGTATTGGCAATGCGATTGCCAGTTAGGAGAAGAAGCTCAACTATATCAGTAGTAAAGGATTGTGAGTCAAGGGTAAGTGATCGAATCTTGCTGATATGGGTACCAAGGGAGCGATGTATACCACTACATTCAATGCATAGGATTACGCCTAAATTGATTGAAACCCATTCAGTTTTCACCCCTGATCCACAATCGGCGCACCAACAGTTTCCTTGGTCAGCTTCACGTAAGACTTGTAGAACTTTGTCTGGACTTTCATCGAACCCACTGCTACCTTTACGGGAATAAGCAGGTCTAGCTCCCACTGTAGTTCTGCGAAAAACACTACTGCTTGCGCTATGGCTGTGGCCATTGATGCTATGATGAGTGCTTCCATGGTTCATTGAAGAACTTTTTCCAGTCAGAATAGAGCCAATATCCCTCCTCATTAAATGATGTTCTTGGGGTGAGATTGGGGTAGGTACGTCCCGAATATCTCGACCTTCAACCGCGCTTTGAATCGCATTGTTAATGGCAGAGATCCAGTTGTTCATGTCATCCTCAGATGTTGCTTGATAAACCCGCTTATACTGGGGAGTTATGACTTCAAAGCAAAAACGGCGCTCTGCATTTCGAGCCTCCCGAACAGATGCCATTCGCAAATCGATAGGCTCCATGTGTAAGTCAAGCCTTTGTTTCCAATTGCTATATTCGGAAACTTTGCCAGCATCTACCACAATCCAAAATCTATTATTGATTAACTAGGTCAGTTTACAATTTGGTAAGACCTACTTGTGCCAGGCTTGCTTATTTAAGCCTCTTGGATCTGAGTGGCTACCAGGACGACTTAATGCCCAGAGGAGACCTTCCTTACGTTGGGTGTTATTTTTGTCAGCCGTGTTGCTCCGGTCTTTTTCTTCTAAATCTCTAATTCCCTTAAACTTCGAGTTTACTCCCAAGTTATTGGTAGGCGTAAGATATGGGGATGGGCATACCGGAGACCGAGGATAATCATAGCTAGTATTTGATGTTGAAGGAGCAGATGATCCGAGCACTGGTTGAAGCGTTAGTTTATTTTGAATATTAGCATTATCGGCACGGAAATTTTCAGTTTCGGGCGTAGTTGTTGTAGTTGGGGTTGTAGCGTGAGAAATATGAAGTGGAGAGGATGCAACTGGAAGTAGTATATCTGGTTCAGTATATGTTGGATTATTCTTTTCTAGATTTCTGCGCTTTTCTTCTCGCTCTGTACGTTGGTACTGAAATTCCTTATCTGCTTCCTCTACTTTGGCACTTAATGCATCAAGTTGAGGAAGCATTTCTTCAATTTTTTTTGCTGTCGCTAGGTATCCCCTTGTTTGAGCATCAGCATATTTTGTTAGGTGTGATAAAACTTCCTGTTCTTTTCGCCCTCCATGAAGATCCTGCATGAATGAAGAGTAATCAAATCGCTTCAGCTCAAAGTTCCTTCGTTTGATTTGATACTTTGAATCACTATCTACTCGCTTCTTCTCTTTTAAAGAATCCTGACGTTGGCCTAAGTACCGAGAGACATAAGCATAGTAATCTTTGCTTTCCTCCTCAAAATCCCGCTTTTTTGATTCTGCTTGTTTAATATCAATATGATAAACTTTCATTATTGGTTCTATAATTATTTTTTGTAGATTATTAGTGCTCTGCGTTTCGTATGCTAGGATTAGGCGGGCAATTTTGTCAAAGTAGTGTTCCAGGGCAGGCTGTACTGCGTTTGCATTTGATAATGCTGCTTCTCGTAATGAATCAGTAAATGCAGTTATTGCTTCGTTGCATTCCACTTGTGCTAGATGAGCTGCTTCAGCTTTTTTTAACACTTTTTTCATCCGGTGCCGCATACTTCCAGTTTTTTGTTCCAAAGCCTTCATCGTTGCCCGGAACAGAGGGCCATCTTCGGTAGCACTCATATCCTGACCCGGACGTTGACAAGAAAAATCAACTCTGACTGTATCTTTTTGTGGAATGTAATATAATCCAGTGGGATCTTCAGCTGGTATCATAGTGGGTGAGGGTGGATCATCATAATCACGCGTATCGATATAGCTAACACGAGAGCCTATAGATTGAGTGGATGCAGCCCGAAATTTTGGAGGGTGAACGAGACTAAATGGAGCTGCTGGTGAATTTGGTTGACTTGGACAATATTGTTGATCTGTAAATAGGATGAGCAGTATTCGGAAGGCGGCTAGGGAATAAGTCTTACTAGCAACCCAGAAGGAAAAACTAGCCAGTGTATCTAATCTATGCGCACGCTGGTCATATTCGACAAACTGTATAATATTAGAATTCGGGTCTTTTAATAGTTTGAAACAACATACACTACAAGTGTTTCTCCACCCACCTCCTTTATCTTCCACAGCTTTCGGAGGTCTCCATTTCCAGGACCATTCAAATGAAACTGATTGACTAGATCCAGTTGAAAAATCACCTACTAACTGAACATTCGCATTTTTGTGGAGATTTGGGTCTGCGTGAAATTCTCTAGTCACCAAGGTCTCAACCTCCTTAGGCGTCGAAGCAGAAACATAAGTGAGACCATTGATATTTGTATCGACAAGGACCTTTGAGTCTTGGGTGCTGGTCTGCCGGATAATAAAGGTAAACTTGAAGGTAAGCTCGGCGTCATTGTTGAGCTTTAGTAAGAAATTTGGAAATGGCTGCTCCGGGTCCTTGACCAGTTCAACTACAATTAGATAATTACAGCGAGATAGTACATGTAGCACTTTACCTGAACATATTCGATTAAACTCGCATCCAGAAAATCACGGCTACCATATAATTTGGTGGCAGGGAATGCATTAGGAACTAGGTGAAGAATAGTTCGTCGATGAGAGTTGGTTACAACGAGAGAAGAAATAGATACTGTGACCCCAATCAGCTCAGCTCCTTGAATCTGTAGACATAACACACATCGATTCTGGTCCCTCAAATAGAGCGCGGAGATCTCGTCAGGCTTGCTGCTAATATTTCCCATGTTTTGAGGCTTATCAACCCCAATTGAGCACCAGGGTTTAATTGTGCTAGGTTTTACGCATTAGAGGCGCAGGAGGACACTGTTGGAGCGATTGTTACGAGCATCCAAAAATTGTACGGAAATTTATCATGCAGAAACGTGTAATTGAAGAACTAGGACACGGCACAAAACGAAAAACGTAACTGAGCTGTCTTCGTGTCTCGAGAGTGTACTAGTTGTTCCTGAGGCGTTAACATCATAGGGGTGGGGGAGATAGTATTCAGAGAATGGGATGGATGCGGGAGACCAAATATGGGGAGTGCTGTTTCAATGACCTGGTGAAATTATGACGGGGATCATTGATGATGCTGCGATTACCGCGCGCAGTCCTGTAAGATAGCATACATTTATTGAAAGGATAGAGCGGCAAGTGATGTAGTTCAGAACCACATCTATCTTAATTATTTGCTTGACATAACTCGGTTGTAGAATTGGCTCATGGACAGTCAGACCGCGGTGCATGATCAATTGTCCGGTTGACACTCCCCTCATCCTAGGGCTTGTGGCGAATTCTTCCGCTGACTAATCCACATCCAATCCTTTTCATATTCCAAGCCGACCGTCAACTAATGCGTGCTCAAAAATACTTCCATCAGCACGGTCAAATTTAAGTCATAGTAGAGTCTCAATATTACAAGATACCAATGTTTTTCGCACACATCCTTACTTTCAACTGAATGAAAATTATCGTGGGACACATATTGAACATTTGAGTGATGATGCTAACTCTCTCCACATGAACATGTTAGGGCCATTGCGACGAAAAAGAATACTAGAACAAACGATTTTGGCAGACCACTCCCAGCACATTTTTAGGACTAAGGTTACTTCATCAACACAGTAGATGGTGTAATTGATTGGTAGAAAATAGAATCATGATGTATGCACTGCTTGTCAGCGCCAAATGACACAGCCCCTTTCGCCTATTACTTCATAAAACATATCGATGCGCCAGCGCTAGTTTGTGACGCAAAGTTAAAGCTAGTAAAATTCAAACAGACATGTGTCAATAGCCGTATCGAAGGCGCTAGTCAGGTGGAGATCACATGTCGATGGAGGCACTTGCATGGCAATATTTCAGGACAACTTGAAACAATGTATCAAATAGTTAGGTATCATTCTTACATAAATAAATTATTCAGTTATCCTGACTGGGCGCCGTGAGGCCCATGTAGGTTTACCTGGAGGATACGTAGGTTAAGTTGGATAACTCAAGATAACGTTAAGTACACTCACTCAGGGAGACTATTCTCAACACCTGTCAGTTGTGTCACCTACAAACCTCCAGCTTTCACTGCAGAGCCAAGATTGAGTAACAAAGTCCTCACTTCGACGAGGATTCCCAAGCGCTTTCGCGGTCTGTATCGTCTTCATCCCTAAGCACAAACCCCTATCAGTATTTTCATGAAGCTCGCCACAATCAGATCAGATGGTAGGGTCGGAGCTCTACTCATCACCAAACCTTGATCACGGAGGAGAAGCCATCCGATGAGTTTCCGGAGCGTACTCAGCACTCGATACGGAAATGGTGGATTGGATCAAGTCGGCCTCGAATGTTACAAAGAAGGGAGATATAGAGGTAATTCGCACCTCATGTGGTCCCGGTATCTAGGCCTCGCCTGGCTGGGGCTGCAGGTTTTTTGAGACCTTTTCCCGCGCACGTAGCTTCCATTGCTACCATTTTGATTTTTTTGGGTAGAAGGTTCCGTGGAAAATGAGGCCGAATTCCACGGGTAAACACTGAGCTGAATGGCTATTCATCCAGGCCATTACATCAATGATCTTTTAAATAACAAAAGAGGATAGGGGCACTGTACAAGGTGTTTCCTGGGCCAGAGAGGATCCCAGTGTGCTAGTTAGTCTGAGACTCAAGTAGTACAATAAACGAATCATATCACATCATCAGAGTGAGGTGTACAAATCGTTGGTTTTTCCAATGGAAATACACTAAAAAAATAGGAGGTTTCGACACGTTAAACTTCCAGTTGATCTTGAAGTTAAGCAGACATTACTAACCGTATGCTCTAAATTTAAACTATCTGCTTATAATGTACATGTCGATTGGCCTTTATTTACGTATACTTAAGGTTACTTAAATGCAAAACGAAAGATACGAAAGTGAGGTATGAATTCTTGTATATCTTCTCTCAATCTAAGGGCTTTACGAACATGTATTTCGTGGTTTTGGCTGAGTCATCAATACAATGACTCAGCAACAGAGAGATGCACTACTGAATTTGAATTTGAAATCTTTTACGTGACAGGAAGAGCCTAACATCTATTTAGACGTGCCACGGGTAGATGGGCTCTGAAAGCTCATTGCTACCTACATGACCGGCAGTGGAAAGAGAGATGCACTACGCTTAGTGCAGAGCAAATTTAAACTGCTTTTCGACAGTAAGGGAATTAAATATTTAAATTAGGAGCACAGACGTTATTGAATGCTTTAGGCCGGCAAAGACGAATTCTTCACCTTCCAGTAGTGCCGGTATAATCGCTCAGTATTCTCTGCATATCTGGGATAGCCAAGAAGAATCGCACCCAAATCGAAGTGGAAAACACTTACAAGCACATCTAAAATCGACAACTTCTCGTCAATGTCGGACCTATCTGTCACGGACTGACTGATGTGGAGATGGTATCCTGCCAACCTCTGGCGCTAAGACTATATGACTACTGTATGTCATGGATAGATTCATGGTGTTGAGGTAGAGTCTGATCCTAGCTTCGGCTGGTATCCCTCTAGACAAGTTCTAGTTACTTCGATGACATTCTAAGCTACTCTGGCAATTAGTTTCTAGATGTTTCGGGATGGTATTTTGTACTCTTACCAGTTTAATGGGCATCGATCAGATTCTAGGTTACTCTCAGGAGTTCGACAGGAATCGGGCTGGAACTAGATTACTGCAGCCTGTAGCAGATAGTGTGGAAGTCTAAGTAGCTGAGGTATCTACCTGATTATAATTCTCCTGCTCTCATTCTTGTATTATTAATAATTCATTTTATTGTCCTGTCTGAGTCTATGACTGTGTAGGACATGCAGGTCCTCTCTGCCTACAGGCCAAGGATACCTATACCAGTAGTATATCCCCTCCTATGCCTCCCATACAACTCCCCTCAAACAGTACCACCTCCCACAAGTCCTCATTCAATCATACACTTAGAGGAGCCCTTAGCCCTTCATTATCTCCCCTCTCCAGCCAAAAAAACGATGGCCATTTGCGGGTGTATGGCAGCCGGGAGAAATCGCAAAAAAACACTGGTTGCGGAGCTCTTCTACTACCGACGTTAGGACTAAACCCGAAGACATAGTGACCCTTCTGAAGCGTTCGAAGAGGCCGGCTGGCTGGGCGCTGCAGACATGTGGGTACTTCGGGAAATTCACCCTCTGCCTTCCTAGCCTCTTTCCAACTTCTTCCCGAAGGTCGTGCTGAAATGTCAGAAAAGTCTTGAGAGAGCGTGATTGCTGTATGGCAGCTTAGCCCAACTTCTTTTGTGCCGTCCAGGGCGCTGGGGAGTGCCGTTGACTCATCAACAGAAGAAGCCCTCCTGGCTAATTAGTCGAAATCTTAGTCTTGGCACCCTCACAGAATCCAAAGTTGAAAACTCCTCGAAAATGTCAGTCCCGGCATGGTCTTCAAAGACCTGTTCCCCTCTCGTTCCACTTCTCAGCTGCCTGTCATTCCTCAAGATGTACAACCCCATTAGAGCACCAGTCCCCCACAAACCAAGACCCCAACTTTGTATTTTTCGACTTGATTTCCTCCTTGCGGGTATAAATAGCGTCGTAAATTTGTAGTGAGTGATGGCCGGCGATGAATGAGGCAAGCCTCTGTTTGCAATTGGGGTGACGCCTTCATCGGTCGGTGAGGCGAGATGATATGTGTTTAGATCGGGGTTGAGGACTCAGAAGATAATGGTGAGTGCTGCATGGTTGAGAAGTCGTCAAATGGAGATATGCATGTGTTTGCTTTCGACTTCGATTCGGATGCAATTCTTCTTGGCTATCCCAGATATGCAGAGCATACTGAGCGATTACACCGGCACCACTGGAAGGTGAAGAATTCGTCTTTGCCGGCTTCATTCTTGTATTATTCCCTAGATATCTAAGAATTAAGAACCAAGTCATTATTGCTATTATTTTCTTTTTACCATCAAGAACCCAGGATTTAGTGCCTACCTGTTCAAGTTGAGTAACCAAGTCCCAAGAGATCCTGACACTATCATTCTCACGCGAGTCCTCTACCTCAATCTTACTACACCACCTCGCCTCAAATACCGATAATGGCGTTACTCCAATTGCAATAGTGCATTTGCCTCATCCAAAACTGGCCATCACTCACTACAAATTTACGACGCTATGTATACCCGCGAGGAGGAATTGAAGTCACAATCTACAAAGCTCGGGCCTTGGTCTATGGGGGACCGTTATTCTATTGGGGCTTCACATCTTGAGAGAGGACAGGCAGCTGGGACTTGGGACTAACGAGTGAAGAGGTCACAAAAGTGCATGCCGGGACACACATTTTTCGAGTGTCTTCGACTTATGATTGTCTGTGTGCACACAGATAACGATTTAGGATAGTGCAACCGACACTCTATATCCAGGCAACGATGGAAGGTGTTTTGGTCCGTCTCCTGGTCGTCATCTCCCCGAATTAAAGCCTGGGTAGCCTGGACACCTACCTCACTCGAGAAAGGGAGGATTGTGAGGCCATATCTCGCGCGGCGGCTATATACGAGATGGCAAAGGCATGTTAGGGTAGCCAAGGGTTTTTCCTGTTTTCCTTTTGGTGAATATTAACGGTTGAGGGAAGGGTGAAAGTCCCTAGCATCAAGGTCTCGAGTGGTATCAGCGAATGCACTCACTACATGAGTAGTCCAAATGTCAAACTGAGTTGTCGTCGTATATAGTCGTCGGAGAAGCTAGTGTTCTCTGTGCCATCCTCTTTGAGTGCAGGGCTTGTGCCCGTCACGACTTAACTTCATTCATTTATTCATCCATCCTAATCACTTCTACGAAACCATTTACAAGGTCCATTTTCGGAATGAGAAAATATATCGCTAAACCGTTTGAAGTATATAAATAGATTAAGCTACCTCGAAATATCTCCCCCGTTCGTCTAGTTGGTTTATGGCGTCCGACTGTAATGTCGATAGAGATCGGAATGTCGCGTGTTCGACTCACGCCTGGGGGATAAATTTTTCGACTTCCACTAACACTCCGACATGGATATCTCCAACCTTTTTTTCTTATAATTTTCTTCGGCCCATCCACACATCTGAATACGTCGGCAATTTCTGCCTACACGCTTGGATTATCTGCCACAAGCTAATGCCTGACTATTTTTTATCCGGTTTATTATTAATTCATGTTATCGTCCTGTCCAAGTCTATGACTTTGTAGGACATGCAGGTCATCTCTGCATACAGGATAAAGGAATCGGACTATACAAAATTATGGATAGAAAATCTCTCGCCGGAGACTGTATGCGCCTATTGAGACGGCTCGTCAAGGGGCCCAGCGAGATCTGCATGGGGATACGACTTATACAAAGGAAGCAGGCTGATCGGAAGCGGTACTGGTACGATTCTTGGAGCAGAAGTGTAAGACGTAGAACTTTTAGGAGCTCAGAAAGCCCTAGAAGAAGCTATAATACTGGCAGGAAAGATCCCTATCAAGCTACTCCTCGATAATTATGAAGCTGTCCACTCCCATAGAATAGGCTGAAGCAAGTCGTCTCAATTCATAGTCGACCAATTTACAACTATATCCCGCATCAACGAGTTAGTGGAGATACGATGGATTCCAGGCCACTACGACATTCTTAGGAACATCCATGCCGACAAACTGGCCAAATCAGCTATGGAAGATGCTCCTATTTTCACAAATGCATTAGTTATCTCGAGTTCAAACTAAGCACAAAGATTCACTTTTGTAGCGCTAAATAGATACGTCAGAGACCACTGTGAGGAGTCTCTCGAAGCCTGGTGGCGTAAAAATAGACCTAGTCGGTACAAAGATCTAGATTTACTGATAACACTAAAACATCCACCAGAGCTAGCCCTCCATAGACCGGCGTATCATCATCTGATAGCAGCTAGAACTGGTCATGGAAACTTCTCCAAATACCGTAAAAGATTTCACCACGAAGGAATAGATTGCAGGTGCAAATGTGGCTGAGAAAGGCGCCCGTGGCATTTTTCGGAATGATGGATAGCACTAAATCAATGGCGAAGAACAGCGAAGGAATCAGCGCCAAGTGGATTGACACTTTTACGAGAGAAGAGGTGGGTAGAATTCTATCGATTTCTCACCGTGACGGGATGTTATGGGGAGCAAAGTTAGACTGGAGAGACCGAGGTCTTTTGGGATACAAATAATACAGGCAAACTGTTATAAGAAAGCTGTCTCGGTGCAGGGCGCCGAGTCAGGGCATCGAAAATTTCCCTCGATATTTTTGTTTTTTCTCAGTCATGTAAATTCTTAGCTATATAAAGCTAGCTTCAGTGATAGTTGTGGGTTCTCCGGAGACACGCTCCCGTGTCAAGCCTCCTGGGTGTTAGGCTTCAACCTGATACATTAAATTAGTCAACTCAATTCAATTCGATTCGATCGCTACAAATTTTGGTGACGTCTCGGAGGAGGGAATTTTATTCCACCACGTAATTAGAAAACAATGTTTCCACATAAGCGAGGTAGAACATAGATGATGTTTGGACCTAGAATATGCAATATTATTACGGGATAAATAACGTATTGGACAAGCTATTATTTCTTTGGCCGGAGAGGGGAGATAATGACAGGGTAACGGCTCCTCTTAGTATATACTCGAATGAAGACCTGTGGGGGTATTATTGCTGGAAAGAAGTCGTGAAGGAGGAATTATACCACTCGAACCATAGATGCTCCCTGCCTGTAGGCAGAAAGGACCTACATGTCCTTACATAGTCATAGACTCAATAGAATAAAGGGGACTATTCTCAACACCTGTCAGTGATGTCTACTACGAACCTCCAGCTCTCATTGTGGAGTCTACAGAGCCAAGATTGAATAACAAAGTCCTCACTTCGACGAGGATTCCCAAGCGCTTTCGCGGTCTGTATCTTGTTCATCCCTAAGCAAATTCCCCTATCAGCATTTTTATGAAGCTAGCCACAATTAGATCAGATGGTAGAGTCGAATCCCTTCTCGTCACCAACCCTTGGTCATGGAGGAAAAGCCATCCCATGGGTTTCCGCAGCGTATCCAGCACCAGATAGGGCGATGGCAGGTTGGATCAAGTTGGCCTCGATTAGTACAGAGAAGGGATATGTGCACCTGTCGAACTAATAGACCTGTATATGAGGCTGAATAAGGCTGAGAAGGAAGCACGCGCAATCAACCGTGCGTTACGTAATTCTGGTATTTTGTACTATAATTAGTTGCGCCTACCTCTACCTTTTTTTTTAAATCATTTAATGTGTATTCAGCTATCTAGATATGACACATGACCGGTGCTATGTATACATCTGGGATGACTCCTTTGGCGTTAGATACACTCATATTCCGGATTTCATTCGCAAATACCACTATAAGCTTTGCTTGCTTACAAAAACAGTTGACCCTCCTCCGTAAGTGCCCACTAAAGGGAATTTAAAAACCTTTAATTATCCAAGCATACCTTCGTCATCCATGCATACCAGCGCCGCGAGAAATATGGTTGTGATTTGCCGGATTTGAACCAGCGATCTACTGTCTCAAGTGGGATACATATTCAGGCTATGCATACTTCACTTGGCTGACCGGCCAAGATGATGTACCACCGCACCATCTAGCCATGGCGGTGTTTATAGTGTCGCATGCACTCTCCCAACCAAAGACTTGGCACGCACAAAGCTCAATTTGTAAAACCTCCTTGCCAAAGTTCAAAATTCCACGCCCGTCGAGACTGAATCCATCCTTCGCATCATCTTGTAAACTTGTCCTGAATCCTCTCGCGCCAATCCCAAAGAACAGTCTCCCAGATTTGTGCGCCACGCTTTGTTTCATCCGTCGGGTATGAATATCGTCGTAGGCGTGTATTTCGTGACCAGCTGAGGCCAGAGAAGGTCGAAGAGTGGTGTGGTCATTGGACTAAGGATGTACAAGGTCGTACTTGTGGACTTGATGAGGCTTGAATAGGCTTCGGACTCCTTGGCAGTGAAAATTGTTGTGGTAGAGTAAGTTGAATCATTGCCTCGAGGGCTCACTTGTTCGGTATTGCGAAATTTGACTTAACTTGGCTCTGGAAGAATATTTCACTCCCAGGTTCGTAGAGGACACCGCGTGCAGTTGCTCAGTCTTGCCCTCCTGTGTTAGCGTTGTTTACTGCTGTTAATAGGGGATCCCGCACGCGCGATATATTGGGATTAAAAGTAGTCTGGTACCCATGTTTAGAAGAGTAGCCAAACTGACATCATTTTATCTTTCATTATTGCATAAGCTTCCTTCTACCAAAAAGTCCACGAACTAAGTAGTGGGTTATATATTCCAATAGTTACTCCAATTTTAAAAAGGAGCTTGCCTCATTCATTACCGGTCATCTTTCACTACACATTTACGATGCTATGTATACCCGCGAGGAGGAAATTAAGTCATAACATACAAAGCTCGGGCCTTGGTCTATGTGGGACCGTCGCTCTAATGAGATTATTCATCTTGAGGAAGGACAGGCAGCTGGAATGTGGGACGAGCGAGGGATAAGGTCACAAATGGGCACATTGGGTTTCCCATTTTTCGGGTATTTTCGACTTAAGGGTATCTGTGGGCGCAGAGGCAACGGTTTCGGATAGTGCTACCGACACTTTATAAATAGGCAATGATAGAAGGTGTTTTGGTCCGCCTCCTGGTCGTCATCTCTTCTATCTAAAGTCTGGATACCTATCTCACTCGAGAAAGAGGCGACTTTGAGGCAATATCTCGCGTGGCGGCTACATACAAGATGACAAAGGCCTGTTAGGGTAGCCAATGGTTTTTTCCTGTTTTCCCTTTGGTGGAAATTAACGGTTGAGGGAAGTGTGAAAGTCCCTGGCACCATGTCTCGAGTCGTCCAAATTTGAAAACGGGTTGTATTCGTATACAGTTGTCGGGGAAGGACTAGCATTCTCCGTGTCATGCTCTATGTGCTAGGCTTGTGTTCGTCACAAACCAATATCCATTCATTCAAGCAGTTCAAATTAAAAATCAAGCTAAATGAACTGCAGTCTAAGGTTGGATATGCTGAAACATATAAAGCGCGTGATATGTTCTTTAGATAATGTTGATCCCCTGTTACTCGAATATCATTTTATTGTTAGAAGTCCCTTAAGCGCTAGCCAATGCGATTCAATGATGAGAATTTTAGAATAGTGCTCTGTTCCCACTTTTTAATTAAATGTATTATTTTGTTACATCAACACCCAAGTCCTATTACTAAGGGTAAGTAAGCTGTAATCCTAACTGATTTTTGACCACAAGACAGTGAATTTAATTTGAAAACGCAGAGGGCGCACAAGAAATTCTGTATCGTTGGCAGTATTTGTGGGTTTCTAAATTTTTCTTTGGTTGAGATCTTTTCTCAAGCGGGCGAGATGGTGAAGTAAACTAGTTGATACAGGTGCTGGAAAGAAGAATTTTCATGAGCCTATCGTCGTTAAGGGTAACAGGAACAAATAGTAACACAGTTTTCTATGCTCACCCTGACATTTACCCACCTCAAAAACATGCAACTTCCCATGCCCTTATCATCCACAAGGCTCGCCATCATTCCCCTAAACACGCTGGCTAACTACAGAATATTCCAAGTACGAGCATAGTTATCACGCCATCAGATCTGCTTTCCGTCTAACAAAGACCTATTCTATTGTACCATCATCCTGACGGTAAGCTCAAGTTAGAAATATAACGGTGCCCTATGTAATGCTTGGAGAAATAGTAGACCCATTGGCAATCGTAGCCCAGCCTATTAATCTCCAGTGCTTTTCTATACGACGACTAAGTGCAACTTTTTCCCCGACATTTGTACAAGCAGGACTAGTCAATACTAGCTTAGCTGCGTCCTGTTTAACTGCAACTACTTTTGCCCCTGTTGCCGTTGACCCAATGTTAACCATGAGAACCTCGTTCTTTGCTAGCTTGGCCACTTTGGCTTGTTTACCGTCTGCAGTCTTGACCCCTAAGAGACGACGCAGGAGATAGTAGTTGACTTCGATTTCAATGTAAATATCTGGGAGGCGACCCTTTAATCCAAGAACAAAACCGACCAGGCGATCGGCTCGGCATAGAGTAGGGTCGATGCGAGTGCCTACACCAATGAGGCCACCAGGAACAGCATATTTGAGCTCATTATTTTCTGAATTTAGCGTCACGATCCGACTGAAGATAGGCGTACACTTTATGGCTCCTTTTTCGTCACGCGTTACAATTCCAGGCCTTATTTCTATCTCATCACCAAGTTTGATAACACCATGTAAAATGCTGCCACCTGCGACACCACCCTTAAGCTCTTCAATCTCTGCACCCGGTTTATTAACATCAAAGGACCTAATGACAATCATCTGAGGGTCCATCGAAAAATCCCGAAGTGGCACAGGAATAGTATTCACGATAGCTTCGTTAACAGCATCAATATTAAACTTCAGCTGGGCCGAAATAGGTATTATGGGTGCTCCTCCTGCAACAGTCCCGCGAATAAACTTGTTGATAGAGCCGAAATGTTCCTTCGCCGCTTCTTCCCGCATTAAATCGACTTTATTTTGAAGTATAATAATTTTATCAAGTTTCATAATTTCGATGGCTGCAAGATGCTCAGAAGTTTGTGGTTGTGGACAAGTTTCGTTTCCAGCGATCAAAAGTAGCGCAGCATCCATCACTGCAGCACCAGATAACATAGTACTCATAAGAATATCGTGACCAGGACAATCAACAAAGCTTTATTTAGATTAGCAGAATTTTGTTAAGTACTAAAGGAAAACTGACGAGACATGTCTGAGCAGTCTGTATGTACCAGAGCAGCCATCTCTCTCGCAAGGAGGATCAACTTCTTTGTCACTCTTATAGCTTCTAAAGCATCCTGGCCTTGGACATTCCTCGTTATCGCACTTGAATATTTTTGCATTAGCATAGCCAAGTTTAATGGTAATATTACGCTCTAATTCATTCTTGAATCGGACAGTCTGCACTCCTGATATGGCTTTAACTACGGTTGATTTTCCATGTGCCACGTGTCCAATAGTCCCGATATTAATCGTAGCTTGCCTTGCTATGATTTCAGGAGTAAGAGGAGTGAGTGACTTTACGTCGAGATCCTTGGGTTCTGTCTGTGGTGGCAAAATAGTCTTTACTATCGGTGCTTGTATTGTTACACTTTTAAGGGAAGATTTTAATGGCTGAACCGTGTTGTCTTCATGGCAATCAGAGCCAGCGCCAGAATCGGAGTCGGATTCAGGGCCATTGCCGTACTTGTCGTTTTCGATCATGCTATTCGGAATTTTTCTGGATCAATTCTTTTCTCTGTAAATCTGATACTGTCTTCAAATATACTTGGTGCGCAGGGATTATCGTGAGGTAAAATTGAGGTCTAAAAGCTCTGGTGATGAATATATGATTTGTGGGCCAAATCTGGCGCTTATCACGTGTCATTCTCATCTTGCTGACAGATAGCAATGACAGTTCAACGATCTGAATAACGACGTCACTTACAATCATGATGGCAAGTAGAGGCCTTCCCACACACACACTGCAGTTTTTATCACCTCGACTAAGCTGGAGGAGGCCTCCAGCATCAAAAAAATGCATCCCTTGGACTTCCAGTACATTATGTCCTACGAAGACTCAGAAAGTCTTAAACGCTCCTAACTATGACTTCTTTGATAAGAATAAATCTTTAAACTCAAATCATCTGAGGACTATCATATTAGGTCACAAATTTAATCAGCATCGGGATTTTCGATCTGCAGCTCGACAACCCCGCGACCATCACTTCGATACACTTAAGTTCGTTCGACGTTTGCAGGAGGAAGGTTTTACTGAAGCACAGTCGGTAGCTATGATGAAGGTTCTAAGCGACGTTATCGAAGAAAGGTATGTTCTTATCGAGTCTCATTGAGTTGGATGCTGAAAACAAAAGTATTCGGAATTTAACACGTACAATGGTCTTACGAGAAGATCAAGCCAAAGCGACTTACACTCAGAAGGTTGACTTTGCAAAACTTCGTACCGAGTTATTGTCTGCTGATTCTACAGAATCTGCGACAACTCGGGCAACTCACGAGCGTCTGACCAATGATCTTGCCAAATTAAACAGTAGATTGAGAGATGAGATAAATCGTACGCAGGCATCAGTCAGATTAGATCTCAACCTCGAAAAAGGTAGAATAAGAGAAGAGGCAAATGTGCAAGAACTCAAGATTAAAGAAACAGAAACCAAAATTGAACAAGCAGTAGCCCATTTAAGAGAAAAATTAGAAGGAGTTAAGTTTCAAACACTCCAATGGCTTATGGGAGTTTGCACTGGTATAAAATTTCGTGACTTTAGAGAATTTGACATGCTAACAATAGGTAGGTACGGCGGCACTTATACTAGGTGCTTGGAGACTATTGATGTAGGCGTTACATTGGTACTTACGATTTCCGATTATACCCAAAAAAACACCGTTTGCAACATCAAAAAAGAAAACTCTGTATTGCCGAATCTTTTTGGTTGGCATGGGTAGAAGTAACGAGTACAAACACAAACACAACTACATAAACCCTAGAATTAAGTACCTGCTTAGGGACTAAAATTTCTATGTGTATCAAAATTTTAAGGTTGGCATTTGATGATGATTATGATGGAGGTTAGTTACTACCAATACGGCACTCTATCTATCTTTGTTACTTGAGGTTTCAACAAAAGAAATATGTGAATTGCTACAATGAAGTAACAAAAAACTTAGATTATTCAAATTGGATTACCATCGCTGGTATTCATGATGGTACCAAATTCTATTCGCCTTGTATCGGAGATCCTTATAATCCAGATTTCTGGGGGTGAATCAACGGATTTTCTTGAGTACTCTCAAAACTATCTTTCTAAGGAGACACAAAAATGAAAAAATGTATGCATAGATCTCATTACACTTCATCAAATTTTTCTTTCAGCCCCCTGTGCGAAAGGAAAATTTGCCTCGCTTCAACTTTATTTCTCGAACAACCAACAACAAGCTTGAATCTGAATTGATAACTAGGCAGTGCTTAGTTTTTCTCGAAGGAAATTAAGTGTGGTTGGCGATGATGTTCAAGTTCAGATTGGTAAAACTAAATGGCTATACTAGAAGACGCAACCCACCACATCAAAAACCTTTCAACGGATTAATATTCTCTATCCAAAAAGTCAAGTAATTTTCTTTTATTTGTACTATGTTGAAGGCAATGCGAGAAAAACAGCTGAAGTGACAATTTGAAAGCTTAAATATAAAAACCAAGCTGTTAAAAAACAGTAAAGGAACTAACTCAATCATGAAATGATAACATCCAATCTTAGGTTCCTGGCTCCAGCTTTACGTACCCTATACATTATCGATAGTTTTATTAGTGAATAGACTGTTTTGATGTATATAAGATCTGGTCACTACTAAATATGTTGGGTATGAAATAAGTGATACTGGTTGCGTCAGAAGTTAAAATAATCGGGGTTATCATTCAAACCATGTTGTTGGTACCCTCGTGTCTTCAAATCATGTGCTTCATTCCATCTCTGTAGTTGATTGAGCGATTGCATTCTGAGAACTCATGACTAAGACGTAATTATTTCCTTGACTTGTTGGTCAGTGTAAATTTTGCTGGCTCAATCTTATGTTATCGCTAGATTACTTAGTTTCTCTACTAAGGTGAGGGCTTGAATCTCAGTATCCATCAAGAAAGAATGACTGTTAGAAGTTAATATAATAGTGGCTATCAAAGTCTACATTGTTGATACACACGTGGCTTCAGATTATGTACTGAGCTTCACTATGGTCTCAAGTGGATGTGTCGTACAACCTTAACGACTGAGGGGCCATTATTTCCTTAAGAACTGTATAAATTTATCATTGAGATATAAAGCTGTTTGAGTAGCTTTTACAGTTCTTCAAAGTTATAGACTAAGTAGGGGCTTGAATTAAATTCTATTCTAATCTATTCTACTTAGGTACTAACAGAGAGATTGCACTCCTCATGTATGTGCGAGCTTGGATCATGTAAGATACCTGCATTTCTCCCAAACTTGTGAAGAATGAAGGCTGAAGACCTGTTTGTGGTGTTCTCTACGAACCCGGGGGTGAAATATTCTCCAAGAGCCATATTCAGCCAAATTACGCAATACCGAACAAGTTGGCCCGCGAGCCAATTATTCAAGACTCTTCACCACGTCGATTGTTCACTTCCAACGAGATCGACTTCTACCTAAGTCTCATCAAGTCTACAATTACGACCTAGTATATCCTCATTCCAATGACCACACCTATCTTTGGCCTCAGCTAGCCACTAAATACACGTCCACGCCGATATACACGTCCACGCCGATATTCACACCCGACGGAAGAAAAAAGCGTGGCGCATGCGTTATGACACGCTAACTATAGTAAGCAAGAACTCAAGGTTTAAAAGGTAATAAATATAGAGAGCAAAGTTCTGCCTACAGTCTCTTAAGGGTATCAAAAGTACAATTTTCAAAATGACCGGGGTTAGATCCCTGTAAATAATGCCTTTATTGGTATGGCCTTCATGCAGGCCTATGTCTAGTTCGTTGACTAGTTTTGCAAGCAGGGGTACTATCCAATGATGTTCCGTGAAAGTCAAATTCAATGGGACGGTTTTCAACACTAAAACAAATGTACAATGGTCCACATTTAAATTTTAAAAAAAAATCAATTGATATTATCTATAGATACACATCTATTTCAAAAATAATTGCTCTGTATTACAAAAGTATGCATCGAAGCCCTCATTATGGCTCGCAACTAAAATGAAAGTGTACTTCATGTTTTGTATGATTCTGCTCCGTCCCAATACTTTGTGAACCCTCCATTTTCTTTTATCACCGCTATCCATCTGATGTGAATGTTGACCACACTTAACAGAGGCTTCTTCCGAGCAATGCATCTACTGTAACCTATTTTATTGAGGGCATTAGAAATTAAACCCTCACTGCATCCCCAGTGGCTGAAAGGTCCCATTGCTAGTTCCAAAATAGCACATCTGTCGAACGTCAGGAGATTCCCGGACGAAAGCCTCAAGCTCATCAGCTTGTTCCGTGCTTGATTTATATAAGCATCTTTTGAGAGGCTTAGGATTCTCTGTCTCTCGAGCACACGTAAGTTGCACTTGCCTTCTTGTGAAGCTAAGTTCGTCGGATATATGTTGCAATGTCAAGCCAAGTCTTCTTTATGTTCTTATTTCAGTACATTGATCGTGAGTTAGATGCTTGCGAGCTTAAGTTTCTGAAGTAGACTTTTCGAGAGACATTTTTGGCTAGAATAGAGGATGAATTGGTAGTGGTGTTAAAGTTCAAGGATTATCAAGGTTGGGCAGCCAAAAACGCCGTTCAAAATGTGTTTTTCTAACCGAATATTAGAAGAAGACGATTGGACCATACTTCATGGCGAGCGGGGCAAGGAGGAGAGACATATTATCATATTACGAGCTAGCCCAACTGCGCCTACAGGGCTAATCCCTTAAACATCCCAGTTTCGAGGTCAACATTTTATATCCCAGAGGCACTGTACAAGTAACATAAATAATGAGATTGGAGTTAAGCGAGTAGTGATAAATATGTTATCAGTGCTTCCATAACGCTAGACCGCCGTGGGTATCCTAATCTAACTCCATACCTGTTTACTACATCCCGAACCACTTAACAGCATAAATCCGAGAAACAGCTCTATGGGATAGACATGAGAAAAATCAGGAAAAGTTTACAAGATGATGCAGAGGATAGACATTATCTCTACGGACATGAAATTTAGAATATTGGCAAGGAGTTTTACCAATTTAGCTTTGTGCGCGCCAAGGCCTAGATTGCGAGAGTGCAGCTGGAACTATAAAAACAAGCCAGCGATGGAAGGTGTTGTGGTCAGCCTCCTGGTGGTGTTCTCTGGTATAGTCTGAGAAGCCTGAGCACCTACTCCATTTGGGAAGGAGGTGCCTTAGAAGAAATTTTGTACAGAGGAAATCCTGTTGATGATTGACGCATGTCTGGATAACTCAGGGTTTTTGAGACGTTCCCCTGGGTGGGTATTCACGGATGAGGGTTGACTTGGGGTGAAGAAAAAGCTACCATAACTTCGCAGTGGTACTTGCAAATGAAATCCGAGGCATGAGTGCTCCTCTTGTAAATTGAGTCATCTTTTCTCTAATTTTTCTCTGTTAATATGCCACAGCTAGATGGCTGTGTAATCAATTAAAATCTGATACAAAAAAAACAACAATCACAACCAAAACTCCATGATGTTAAGGCACAGGGAGGATTATGTTTGACAAAAACTCATATAATTTAACATCATCTGCCATGTATGTATGTATTTATTTCGTATCAGGCAAAAGCCCTACACCCGACATGCATGATACCGGTGTGTGATCCCTGAAGACTTACTACTACCTATCTGACCAGCTTTTTGTGCTGAGTAAGTATATGAAAGAATAGATAAATAGAATTGCCTAGACAAAAATCCGCCCTGCGTCTTGCCCATTTTCATATCAAATTGCTAGAAGATTATAGTTTGTCGAGATAAATTAACCCTCTCGATGTAAAAATTGCCCTCCGTAAAATCTCGTTATGGCTATGTACTTAAATGTTGCGGTTTGACTGTTGTTTAAGCTTAGGAGGAAACCTAAGCGTTTAATTAAGAATAATTACGATAAGACTGAAAGAGGAAGGATGGGCAAATACAGATGAAATGGCACTACAAGCCAGGAGGTCGAAGCAACATTATAGCGTAATGGCTCCTGATAAACTTGGCTCGGTAGTGAGTATTAGGCCCAGGGGAAAGTTATCGGTCAGCAGATTCACGAAGCGGACCAAACGTTTTAAGTACCTGTTAGTAGTAGCTAGAGATTTCTTTGCTCTTCATATAGTTTTATAAATCGATTTATGTTGGAAATCTAGACTATGTATATCTGAAGGTTTAGATTTCTAAGTATGATCATCAAGATCAATTCAATTGATCCGATTGCATATGGTTAAGCTTAGCTGGGCGACATGAGAATCAGTGTTATCTGGAATGCAGTGGCTAGGAAATGCTACCTTGCGATAATTAAGTGGCTGGTTTTTGCTAGATCACTTGGAGTTTGGGATCACTAAAGCCTCGGGGATCTGTATTAAATCATAGACTTACTTGCATGTTTTAAACTAAGTTAACGAAGTATTATATATTATTAATTCATATTGAGAAGAGAGTTTGATATCACATAAAACTATCATTAAAATCTTGACCGAAATTATACACTTGTTCTTCGAGATATTTCCTCCCAGAAATCCTTGACAATTTCTAACAATTTATTCATTACCAACTGGGTTTCGGTCAAATTAAAGAATTCTGTCAGGAACTGAGGATAGAGGTTACTGGGATACAATGGTTGCCATGGGTTAC